GATATGAGTGTGTAGATATCAGCTGGGCTCAGTAGAGCCACGGGGGGATTTCCTGGTAGAGTTGGCCGTTGACAGATAGTTTGACACCCTTTGACAGCCGGGGAGAATCCTTTCATGAACCTTTTCCGGATGGGAAACAGGAGCCTCCGTCTGTCCAGGATCTCTTTGGGAAACTGGTCACTGATGCTGAAGTCGGCTCCCCTCAGCTCCCGCCCACCGCTCCTTACCAGGACCTGTTTGAAGTGCTCCAACTGGGCCGCGATGGGTCTCGACAGGGTCTCCTCCCTCCCAGGCGCTGCACTCTGTGGGAGGAGACGTTCTTCACTGTGTCCTCTAGCAGCTCAAGATGGGTCTGGATCTAGCTTTTAATGACCAGTTCAGGGTCTAGGCGAAATTGTATTTTAACAGAATTTCACCGAGTTATTGGTGTAGAGGCATGCTATGGAGTTTTATTCTGCCGACAGTCTCAGAGAATCTCGCCACACTACAGCACTCATACAGCTGCTGTGAACTACCTGAACTTTAAACTAACTTTAATTTAATTTGTTTTCTATATATATTTTTTTCTATTTTTCTGATTGTTTTTATCTAACTTACATGCCGTTAACTTTAAACTAACTTAGCTTATTTATTTTCATTTAAATGAAAATAAGACAGACAGTTAGCATCATTATTAGCATTAGCAGCATTAGCAGGGTCAAAGGTCAGAGCTGCAGCAACACGTCGGGCGCTTATCGGATCCGAGTGGTAAAATAAAGTCAAAGTGCACACAAGTTCCAGCTGACTGGGCAGTTTGAAAAGATAATTATGGTTGATATTTAACCCGAATACGGAGACACGGCTCAGCAAACGCTCACTAAAGAGCCAAATTCAGCCGCTGAATTCATGTTCCTCTACATTCCTTCATGTACTAAACTGCTGCAGGTTTTCCCTGAACCTGCTCAGGAGTTTCTGCCCAAACTGAGTGAGAGTTTGGTCTCTGAAGGAGGACAAAAAGTTTCTGCTGCAGCTGCAAGGGACACCAAAGTGGAGTGGATACCCTAAACAGGGCCAGAACAGGGCTGAGAAATGGGGCCAGAACAGGGTGAAAAAGGGCCAGAACTCTTCTCAAACTGGGCTAGAACTGGTCTTAAACTGGGCCAGAGCTGGTCTCAAACTGGGCCAGAACTGGTCTTAAACTGGGCCAGAACTGGTCTCAAACTGGGCCAGAACTGGTCTCAAACTGGGCCAGAGCAGTTCACAAACTGGGCGTTGCTGCTCTGACACCACAGCTGAGTGAACTCTGACCGGGTCTGAGGCTGTAAACCCCACAGGACACACCCTGCCTCTGGAGGAACCTTTGGGTCGGTGTTCCTCTGTCCCGCCCCCCCCACTGAGCTCTCATAAGGAAGCGTGTGACGGGAACGCCTCATTTCCTCATTCAGCCGTTAGCCAGCCTGTCAGAGTCTCTCAGAGTTCACAGATCGGTTCTGTTCAGGGGAAAGTTGGACTGTTTAACAGTTACTGAAAGCAGAAATGGCTCAGAAAGGAGTTCAGCTGGACACAGAAAGCATCTCCTGCTCCATCTGCCTGGAGGTCCTGAAGGACCCGGTGACTATTCCCTGTG